TGCTTATAGTTAAATGGCTTGCTGGTTGGTTTATTTGTATTTGAATTTGTTTATGGGGCTCGTTCATTTCGGTTGCGGCAATTTCACGGCTCAATTCATGGCACAGAATGTTGCCAGAAATATATTTACCAAACAAATTAAAATTTACATTGATATCGGAAAGTTGTTGCAACAAATTACACGGCATTCGCCAATGGCAAACAGCAGGACAGCAAGAGAGAGCGAGACAGAGAGAGAGCAGCCAGAAACTGAATAAATACTAAAATGCAAGTGCAAATAAACAGAGCGAAGGATGCGAATGCAAATGACGGCCAACAGCAGCAGCGGAGAACAAAGAGCAGAGTCGGCAGGCGGTTAGCTAACGGAACTGCGTGTGGTGGGGCACAATTTTTAGGCACTGTACGTGCCGCGTTGCCAACTCCCGGCTTTGCTTTATTCTTACTTTATTTGATGAATTTCTTTGGCTTTCGCTGGCAGACTGGCAGGCTGGCAGACTGGCACTGTGGCACGTCGTCCGCCTGGCAAATTCCAGCAAACGGCAATCAAATTTCGCTTGGCTGCCGTTGCTGCTGCTGCTGCTGTTTAAATAAACCCAAAGCCAACTACAAAGCTTATCTGGATGAGAAACTAATGTGCACATGTCAAGCTGTCTGGCAGCTGGGATATTTATCTTGATTGCCCTTTTTCAGCTGTTGTGGCAAGTTGGGGACAACAGTGCGTATGATTTATTTGAATTGGTTAGATAAAAAGTTTAATTGGATTTCATGCAAATTGCAGCATCGCATTGCATTTATGCACTCTCGTTTAATTAAAAGCTGCTGCATTATTTGACTTTCGAGTACTTGCAAAAATTATGGTTAATTGTGTTTAGCCAGCCAAAGAGAAAGATAGAGAGAGAGAGAGAGAGCCATAGAGGAGATAATCTCTTTTCCTGGATATATATGAATATTCTGGATTTCGAATGGCATAAATTAATACGCACAAGTTGCTGGGCAACCGAATCGAAATGGCAAGCTCTAATTACGGACTGCGTTTGAGCTACTGCGACAGTTCGAAGTTCAATTACTGGCCAAAATGCCAAAAACTCACACAGACACTGGGGCACAAGCACAAATACAAATGCAGCAACTATTGTCTCTGTTTGCCTTGGAGTAAAATCAAAAATAAACTTTTCAATTACAAACTTTTTAACTACAATTTCCAATTACAAGGGATACGGCCAGTTGCATTTTGGCCCAATTCAAACACATTTGGACCAAAAACAAAACCCCTAAAAAACACAACAACAACAAAATGCAAACTATCCTCTTTTGTTGCTGTAAATTTCCCGAGTGTGTTAGCTCACTTACTGTGTAAATCGTGCTCTCTGTGGAAATTGTTGCTCGCAAAGCTGGCAACAAACACTGGGGACTAACAACAGTTAACCAAGAACGCAAATTTATGACCTGGCTAACACTAAGCATCGATACATACAACTGCCAGGCAGTAAATAGTAGTTGGAGCCGAGCAGTCACTGCCAGCTGGCGGTCAGGTGTGCTAGTCTCTGCACTTGTCTTAGCACACACACACACATACACACACAGATGCATACCAGTGGATTGCGTTTTTGTGGGTAATCGTAAATTACGATTGGCATGCGGCTCAAGTGGCCAAAATGGGAGAAATTCTTGTCCACAGACAACAAAGCAGGCAACTCTACAAAAAGTTCCGGGCACATAAATCGAACGCATTGAATTATGAAATGCTGTGCGGTTGGGGCGTGCGGCACATGGATTTACGCTTGACAAATGCTCAAATATATATGAGCGAGCATTATGACAATGCATAAATTGGCAACATTAATTATTAACTGGGCAGCGAAGCGCAACTAATAAACGAATGAACAAAACAAACGAAGCCAATCCATTGGGGAGGGCGAACAATGGAAAGCAGAGCTGAATAAAAAGAAAATAACTCAGCTCGGGCGGAATCATAAATTTTGTGGCTAATTAATTTATCGGCACTGGGATTTCCTCGGTTTGCCGCAAAATGTGGCTGGCGCGTGGCATTAAGTGGCCAAGCATTGAGTATACGCCCCGTGCCTCAGCATGAACACCAACAATAAGGGACAAACAAAAATGCCTTGCACAACTTTTGGGCGACATAATTTAATTACATGCCATACAAATTTAAGCACTCAAAAGCATTGCATACTTTTGTGCGCCGCCAATGAAATTATTGTAAGCCGTCAAAAACTGTTGCATACTTTTAGCGGCAGCCCAAAATGTTAGCAAACAAATTGCTCGAATGACAATAACATAATACATGCATTTAGGACGCATGTTTTAAATTAACACAAACACACACACACACACACTCACACACACTCACATATACGCTGCTAAAGCGCATTTTCAACATGTGTTTATGTTTATCGACAACTTCCTTTTAAATAAATTGCTGCAGTTCAGCTAAAGGCCATCAGCCATGTCGTGCGCCTGTCCGAATTGTGGTTTTTGTGCGCATTCAAATTAGAAATGCAGCCAAAAATGTAAATTTGCCTGGTTTTGTATAATTGCACGGCTCATACAATTCTAAACACACACCACACACATACACTTAGCCCACACATTCACGTGCCAAATGCATCAGGAAAGGCAACAACAAACCATAAAACGACACCACAAAACGAAACTTTTTAGCTTAAGTAATTTTCGTGTGAAAATAATTCATTAAAATTAGATTAAAACGCTGCACGGAAACCGAACAAACCGAGAAAGCGAAAAAAAAAAAAAAATGAAACGAGAAAATAAGAGAAATAGAGAAGAAACGTAAAACTCGAACGTGCTGCACATTTTGCCAAATGATTTCTTAATGCAATTTCTTCAACGTTTGTTTTGGGGCCGGTTCATGAGACCGGATGCTATTGTTGCTCTTAAAGCCCACACGCACGCACACACACACACACACACACGTACACACATACGCTCAGTTTAGCCGGAAAATTCGGGGTAGAAAAAAGCAAAAGCACATAAAGAATAATAGCAAAGGCAAGGCAAAAAGTTGTCCCATTTCGTATTGTTGTTGTTGTTGCTCTTTGTTTGGCTGATGTGCGTATCAGAAGCAGCAGGCAGCTTCCGGCGTTGTCTTTTGTTGAAACATCCACCTAGCTGAGCCCGTCTCAGCGCTCCATGCACACATACTTAGCTGGCAGGTTGAACGCGTCAGTCCATGAATTGAGCTGAGCAAAACTTGTACAGTGGCGTACAGTTGAGTGGAGTGGAGTGGAATGGAATGGAATGGAGTGGCATGGAGTGGCATGGAGTGGCGTGGAGTGAAGTGCACTATTCTATAGATCCTCGAGCATTGTTTATCTACCGTTGAGCAAAATGAAAAATAAACGCCATGAATGTGGCTCTAGGAAATGGCAAAGCTCCGGTTAACCCTTTTTTTATTTGTCACCCCCATCCATTGTAGCTACGATAAATATTTATCAAACAACTGTCATGGGGCTGGCAGCACTTAAGGTGTCAAAAAGGACACACAGGACAATATGCTATAGCCGCAAACGCAAGTAGGACACGCTCAATAATGAAAGCGAAGAGGAAAACCAAAAGCGAACAAAAATTGAAAAAAAAGAAAAGGAAAATTAATTTGCATATGTTAAGTGGCAGAAGCAATTAAAGGCGAAAGCACAACAAGGCTGAGCAGCAGCAGCACCAGCAGCAGCAGCAGCAGGAGGAGGCGGAGCAGTTGCTGTTGCCAGGACGCGGTTGATTGAGATGTGAAAAGGCGCAAACGATGCCAAACGGCACAAAGAACGTCGAGGGCCCCAAAGCTTGACTGCGCGACCCTTACGGTGGCAAAAATGGAAAATGGGAAATCATAATTGGCTTCCAAATGCTTGAGCTCAATTATGTGAGCAAATTGTGGGTGGCTGCTGTCGTTGACAGGCAAATTATGGATTCAAGGCCAACGCATAAGCATACAATATAATATGTACACACACACACACACACACACACACACACGCACGCACACACAGGCACATTTGTATAAACATATATGTATGTATGTACGTTTGCAGGGAAATCGCACTTTCACTTTGGGCTTAGGTGCCCAAGATAATTTGCATAGCATATCCAGAAGGGAAATGCCACTGGGGCATGAGCAGTGCCTTGCACTTGAGCGGAGATCACAGCCAGAGACATGATAAATTGCTCAAACACAAATTAAATATATAAATCATAGCGCTCACATACAGGAAATTCAAGCAAACGCATTCCGAATTGCGGCCAGAGTCTCCAGAGCAGTCCACATTTAGTCTAAGCTCCAGCGCTGGCACATTGCTGCGTCATTCGCTTGCAAAGGTGCTAATAGTATTAGCTGCATATTTAGTTTATAAGGCACTTGGTTAAAAAAAGAATGGCCTTACAGATAAGAGAATTTCGTCAGTGCAAAACAATGAAAATGAAATTTATGCTAAAAAAACCTCAAGGTGAAGCTAAAGTTAGCCTATGTTTGGTAATGGTTATATCAGAGAGAGAGGGGGAGAGAGAGAGAGAGAGAGAGAGAGAGAGAGAGAGAGAGAGAGAGAGAGAGAGAGATAAATACTCTCTCTTAAAAGAGTTCATTGAATTGCATAATATTCACCTTCACCTTCATGAGCCCCATTGACAGCATTTATCCAATAGCAATGAGCTATCAGTCAGCATCAGTTCTGCTAAAGAGCTTATCATTATAGATACCATATCATATATCGAATATGCTCATAATTATATGCTATCGATAATTATGCATGCTCAGCCCAATAAAAAGCTCAAATAAACATATACAAGTAAAGTAAATAAATAAAGATAAGTAAATTACAAAAATTCACAAATCCTAAATTGAGTCATATTTCAAGCTAATACGACTAGGCCCCATGGATAGGGTATTCTTTTGTACAAATATAGTTTTATCTACACTTATCTACATTGCCAAACTGTGAGAATAGTAGAGAGCGAAGCCTCTGCATATTTTGGACCGTCACAAGTTCAAGTTTCGAGCATTTGAAGGCCACGCCTAGGCAGAGGCTGAGCAGGAGTGGAAAGTACGTGTCGTTCAGTTGTTGCGGAACCAGCAAACCGAGTGGAGCCACGATGGACAGCAATGAGGTAAGTGAAGTGGAAAATTCGTTTCAAGAGTCACGTGCTAATCGCAGCGCATTCCGTAAACCTCCCGGCAGTTTATTGACTTTGACATAGGCGCGCCGTGGGGCCGCATCGCCTGCCGCTGGTACGGCAGCCGTCAGGTGCGTCCGCTGCTCGCCATTCACGGCTGGATGGACAATATGGGCAGCTTTGCACGTCTTGTCCCATTGCTGCCCGGCCATCTGGGCGTCCTGTGCATCGAGCTGTCTGGCCACGGCCGCTCCTCGCCGTATCCGGCTGGCATGCAGTACTCCGTCATTGAATGGACCAGCATCATTCGCTGCGTGGTGTTGCATTTCAAGTGGGAGCGCGTCTCGCTGATGGGCCACTCGTTTGGGGCCGTCGCCTGCAATCTGTATGCCTCGTTATATGGCCGGGATCACGTGGATATGCTGATTGCCATCGATCTCCTGACCATTCCCTACAAGAGCAGCAGCTTCTACATCAACTACCTGGCCAACAGTGTGGAGCGCATGCTCACGCCCACGCCAGCGCCCAAGCTTTATACGGCGGATCAGCTGAAGGACGCGCGCTGGGGCCCAGCTCCCACGATCAGCAAGGAGCAGGCTCATCTGCTGATCAATCGCAGCGTGCGGCAAGTGCCCGATCAGCCCGAAAAGTTCTTCATATTCCGCGACGCGCGCCTCATCCACTACTCGCTCTTCCCGCTCGGCGCCGGGCTGGTGAGGGAGCTGAACCGGCGCATACGCAACATACCCTACATGGTCATCAAGGCAAGCAACTCCAACTTCATCAACGACGACTGCATACCGACCTTCGCGATTCTGCGCAAACAGAATCCCGCCTTCGAGTATCATTTGGCACAGGGCTCTCACCATGTGCTCATCAGCGATCCCCGGCAGCTGGCTGCCTGGATTGTGCCATTCATAAACAAACATCGACCGGCCACTCGATGGGAGCATCCAGGCGAGCTGAATGTGATCAGCAAGCTATGAAGACTTTAAGTATTGCAGCCAGTTTCTTTCTCTTTTCGACACAAGTTCTGGGAATAAGTGATATACATACATATATTCCAATTGATATTTATATTATAGTTTACATATCCATAAATATTTTCTACCTATTTTAACAAATGTAAATCTCTTCAATCTTTGGTCTGGGTTCATATAGACTGACTTGCGGTAGGTTTTAGCATCTGTAGATTATTTAAAACAAGCTTTTGGTTTCAATTCATTCCTAGAGAGAAAGTTAGACAAGCACTTCTAAAAAGCCCCTCAAGATAAACCTCAGATGATTCCATTTCTTTTTACGTTCTTTTTGCGATCAAGTTTGAGCTTTTTGAAGCTTTCGCACTCTGCACAAGCTATGAAAAGCTTTTCATCGTCAGTATATAGCCAATCGTTTGACTCAAAGGAAGCAACCGGTTGGCGAATATATTTTGCAAAAATTGTTGAACCAATAAATATACATATTTACATTTATATATGTGTGTATGTAGCTCTGTAAATGACAGCGATAATATAGCTAGAGCTAGCAAGATAATTTGGGCAAATTTTTATTGTTGCCGAAAATTTTGTAGCAGCCGAGACAAATCAGAGATTTAATGGGAGCTTTGTCACCAAGCGACGTGAGTAAAGAAATTGAAATGAATCGTGGCAACCTACGAGCATTTCCTTTGTAACATTTGACAGTACGAGGATGTGCGCATCTGGGTTCCTTGGGGTCACATTGCGGGTCGCTGGTATGGCAATCGATCGGAGCGCCCCATCCTGGCCATCCACGGCTGGCTGGACAACCTGGGCACCTTTGACAGACTGATACCCTTGCTGCCGGACTACCTGGGCGTGCTCTGCATCGATCTGCCCGGACATGGACGTTCCTCTCGGCTGCCAGCGGGCATGCAGTACAGCACGGCTGATTATGCTTTTGTCATAGCTCGGGTCATGAAGGAGTACGGGTGGAGAAAGGTCTCGCTGCTGGGTCACTCTCTTGGCGGTGCCATTAGCTTCGTTTACACTGCACTCGCGCCGGACAGTGTCGACCTGGCCATCATAGTAGACAATCTGCTGCCATCCACGGAGTCGCCCGAGCGCCTCAAGAGATTTGCCTATTCCGTGGAAAAGCATTTAGTGGAGGATGGGGACGCAGAAGACGAGCCAAATTCCTATACGATTGACCACCTGCGAAAAGTTCTCAGCAAAGGCAGCAGGAATTCCGTTCCGCCAGAGCTCGCTCATCATTTGCTCAACCGCTGCGTGGCCCCATCGCAACTATATCCGGACAAATTCTACTTTACAAAGGATAACCGTACCAAGTTCTACAATTTCTTTCCTGCCACTGTTGCATTATTCAGTGAAATGGCAAGACGCATCAAGAACAAACCCATTCTCATCATAAAGGGATCAAAGTCAAACTATATAAGCTCAAGAGATAGCGAGGCTATCTCCATCCTGAAGAAGCAGAACCCGCTCTTCCAATTCCACGAGGTGCCAGGCACCCATCACGTGCATCTCGTTGACCCCGAGGTGGTTGCTCAGCACATAGTTCCCTTCTTGAGGACTCATCGGCCGCCCAAGGTCTCCAGCTGGTCACTGGATGGCGAGAAGTTGGGCACGACAGAGCGGGAGAACTTCTTTGCAAGAGATGTCAGCCGTCTCAGTAAGATCTAAGTCTGAGAGAATCTCAAGAATACGGCACAGTATATGCTGATAATAAAGTGAAACAATTGTGATTTAAGTAAAGATAATAAGTAAAACTTATATTGGGATATTTGTCTTGGTAACTGGATAAATAAATTTGCTGACAATTAAATGCACTACATGGTATAGCCCTATTTCAAATTTCGAATTCTTTGCAGTTACAAGATCCGTTACAAGCTTTGAAGTTACATTTTACAGCTTTCGAATAATACAAATACTTTGTAACGCAAAGTGAGCAACAGCTGATTTAGTTTGTTTATAGCATGGCAAAGTAGATCAGCTGTTGCTCGAAAAAGCTTTGCGCCACACGCGATCGAAAATAAGCTTTCGATTGGTACACAAACGACGCAAAGCTTTTGTTTTTTGTTTAGTACGCGACGAATTGTGTTGGCGAGAAGAGAAGGCGGATTAACTGTGTTGCTTTTGCAGCATTCATTAAGTGGGCATGGTACGATGTTCATTAAAAAGTACTAATTGCTCGTCGATAAGGCAATCTCGAGCCAGATAATTAGGAAAAACGTTTCGCAGCTCCGAAACAAGCAGCCAAGACATTTATAAAGAGACGGCCAAAGTTCAGGGAGCCACATGGGAACTTTGTCACTGAGCGACGTGAGTAAACACAATTAAAAGCTTCAGCCGGCTGGCTGGCAATGCAATTTACGTTGTTTATACACTGTTCAACATGAAAACGTTTCCTCTGTGACACTTGATAGTACGAGGATGTGCGCATCTGGGCCCCTTGGGGTCACATTGCGGGTCGCTGGTATGGCAATCGATCGGAGCGCCCCATCCTGGCCATCCACGGCTGGCTGGACAACCTGGGCACCTTTGACAGACTGATACCCTTGCTGCCGGACTACCTGGGCGTGCTCTGCATCGATCTGCCCGGACATGGATGCTCCTCATGGCTGCCGCCGGGCATGCACTACAGCACAATGGAGTATGTCCTCGTCATAGCTCGGGTCATGAAGGAGTACAAGTGGCAGAGGGTTTCGCTGATGGGCCACTCCCTTGGCGGCGTCTTAAGCTACATTTACACCGCACTCGCGCCACACACTGTGGACCTGGTTATCGCATTGGACATTCTCTTGCCGCCACTCGAGACGCCCATGGCCCTCAAGTATTTCGGATATGCTTTGGATAAGCATCTGGTGGAGGATGAGCGTGCGGAGGAGGATTCGCTACATGAGCCGCCGTCCTACACGCTGGCACAGCTACGCACTGTCCTCAGCAAGGGCAGCAACAATTCGGTTGCCCCAGAGTTCGCTCAGCATTTGCTGCATCGCAGCGTGGCCAAGTCGCAGCTGTATCCAGAGAAATTCTACTTTTCAAGGGATGGCCGCACCAAGTACTATAATATTCTACCGGTCAACGGTCCCCTAGCCGCCGAAATGGCTAAGCGCATCAAAAATAAACCCTACCTGGTCATCAAGGCATCCAAATCCCATCATATCAACTCAAAGGCAAACGAGGCCATCTCCATCCTAAGCAAGCAGAACCCGCACTTCGAGTACCACGAGGTGCCAGGCACGCATCATGTGCATCTGATCAGCCCCGAGCTGTGCGCCCAGTACATAGTTCCCTTCCTGAGACACCATCGTCCGCCCACGGTCTCCAGCTGGTCGGTGGATGGCGAGAAAAAGTTGAGCACAACGGAGCATCGCAGGCAGCAGGAGAACTTTTTCACGCGACACCTGAGGCGTCTCAGTAAGCTTTAAGTATTGTAATTGTAATCGACAAGTAACCTGTGCAGTATATACTGAAATTATAAAATACTCTGAGAAATTACTTGAAAGCTTTTTCTTCAAGTGTATGCCCTCAGCTGAGACGAGGGCTGCAGATATGAGGTTAAATCAAGTACCTACATCTGATAAAGGTACTCGAACAACAATACTATATAAATAGGCACGAGCTGTGATAATCATCGTCAAGAGGGCAGCTTTTTGAGTTCGTTTTGCTGTGGCATTGTAAAAGCTTGATTAGTCAGCGTTTTGGGCTAAGAATAGTCAGTTTCATTGATTTAAACGGGCATTAGATATTAACTAATTAAAATCCAGTGCTTATCGAATCCATTGTTCTTCATAGTACAGATAATAGAATAGACCCCGGGCGGTTTCCATATAAGCAGCTAGTATCAAACAGTTAGCAGAGGCCATCGCATGGGAACCATGGGAACGCTATCACTGAGCAATGTGAGTAAGGTGCACTGAACGGAACCCCAACTGTTTTGTTGGGGATGCTTAACAATTCAATTGAACTTTGGTATTCCGCAGTACGAGGATGTGAGCATCGAGACGCCCTGGGGTGAGCTCAGCGGTCGCTGGTACGGCAATCGCTCGGAGCGTCCCATACTGGCCATTCACGGCTGGATGGACAACCTGGGCAGCTTTGATAGACTGATACCCTTGCTGCCGGACTACCTGGGCGTGCTCTGCATCGATCTGGCCGGGCACGGGTGCTCTTCTTCACTGCCGCCCGGGCTGCATTACAGCGCGGACGATTGGATCCTAACCATTGCACGGGTGATGAAGGCGTACAAGTGGCAAAAAGTATCACTGATGGGCCACTCGCTTGGCGGCATACTGAGCTTTATTTTCACAGCCCTGGGGCCGCACAGGGTGGACCTGCTGATCACACTGGACGTACTGGTAGCCCCATTGGAATCTGCTGAGAGCATCAACACAATGGCCTACTTCATGGAAAAGCATCTCGTGGAGGAGGAGCGCACTGCCCTGGCTGGCATGATGGAACCGTTAACCTACTCCCTGCCTCAGCTGCGCCATATCCTTAGTAAGGGGAGCAGCAATTCGGTGCCGCCGGAGCTCACTCATCACTTGATGTACCGCACTGTGGCCAAGTCCAAGCTGTATCCGGATAAGTTCTACTTTACAAGGGATGGGCGAACTAAGTTCTATTCCCTCTTGCCCATGAATCCAGGGCTGGCAGCCGAGCTGGCACGCTGCATCAAGGACACACCCTACCTGGTCCTTAAGGGCTCCAAGTCGCACTTCATTGGACCAGGCAGCGATGAGGCAATTTCCATCCTGAAGAGTCAGAATCCGCACTTTGAAATCTACGAATTGCCTGGGGCTCACCATGTGCATATCACCTGTCCCGACCTTTGCGCCAAGCACATAGTTCCCTTCCTGAGACGCCATCGGCCGCCCAAGGTGGAAGGCTGGTCGCTGGCTGACGGAGATGCCGCCCTCAGCGCACGGGAGCACCGCGAGGCACAGGAGAGCTTCTTTGCACGGAGTCAGAAGCGACAGCATAAGCTGTAAGAGGACGCAAGGGAAATGCCCAATCGGCAACTGCGAAAAGCGGCGATAATGTGGATGATGCTAGGAGAGCACTGGAGAGTACATAAAGATGCACAGGCATGTAAGGAAACATGAACTTAAATATATAAAATACCTTATTAAGATGCCAAGCTTTTCACTTAGTTTCGCTGCATTCCTCTGTGTCCTCTACAATTTGTTGGCTTTTCACGATAAGTATCGATGTGTGTGTGTGTGTTGCAGCAAGTTTAAGCTGCTAAGCGCCTTAGAACAATTAGCCAAGTCAGCTTTGAATGGCAACGCTTTAACTTGCCCAAGTTAAACATGAAACAAGAAATGGCTGACAGCCGGCTTAACACATAAGCCCAGAGATATGAAATTTTCGAATTTTCCGAAGTCTGACAGGATAGACATTCAACAATTAACCACATAGACCTGCAGGCACTTAAATAACACGAAATGTAATCAATGGCTGGCTGATGAGCATTCGAGAATCATTTCATTGTGGCGTGACAACAAAAGCGTTGCCTACTTTTCGGCAAATATTAATTTCTCACAGCCGCAGAACATTTTCGTTGCCTTTTAGCTGCTGCATAGTAACGTAGGCTAAGAGCAGAGAGGCGCGCATATCTTACTTAATTTAAGCAACTGCGGTTATACGCTGTAAAATGAGTTTAAATTAAGGCATATTCGGGTTGGTTAATTTATATACCAAGTCAAGAGTTGTACAAATAGTTGAGAATAGTTCATGTCAAAGGCTTCCTTCCCTATCTTCTGCTTGTTTAACTAGCAAATAACTAAACTAAAGTTTAATTTAGTCAACTAGCCTTAACTGACAGAGTATTTACCATTCGCATCATTAATGTGCCTCATATGCTGCCTGGTGTCCTTGGAACATCTGCTGTGCGTGTGTGTGGCAGCGTCTGGCGCGGCAACAGCTGCCTCAATTGCTGAATTTCAAATAAGTATTTGCTTTCGCAGCGCATAATTTTCTTGTCATACATTTTGATTGCTGATATTAATATTTATGCTTAAAGTTCCGCCGTAATTGCACGGAAAATTCAATCAATTAACAGACAAATTTCTCGCATATTTTGCGTACGTTGATTAAACAACAACAATATGAAAACACTATCGATTTTACAATTTGCCAGCGTCTCTCTCTCTCTCTCTCTCTCTGTTACTCTCCCACTCTCATCGCCGCAGGAGGTCGTCGTGTGTGCCTAGCTGAAGCCATAAACGCTTAGGCATGGCACGGCATATGCCCAGATTTTTAATTTAAGGGCCCGCGGCAAGCAAACCTGACGGCTTTTATGACGAACAGCGTTTTCGTCTACATTTCGTCGAAACTCACGCAGCATTCTTTTAGGCGCGCGTGTATTATATTAAGTTTGCCAAAAAAGGAATTGAAAATTTGAGGCTCAATTTGCTAAGCGACTAAACGACAGCCAATCAGGCTTAAATCGAAAGTTCAATAGACCTTGCCTGGATTTGGCTTGCAGTAAAAGACATTTTCAAGTAGAGAAGGGATCTAAACACAGCAGGAGTGAAAGAGATGGCGAGGGAATGAGGAAGTAGCTGAGTAGAAAGCTTATTAACCCCACCTACATTATTTGAGAGAGAGATAGAGTGAGTCTACGTGTATATAGCTCTCTACACTCTAGGATTAGATTATTGCAAGTTCTACTTATTTAGCTTACTATTACAAGTCTATAATGCAGGATCTATAAAGAGTGAGGGAGATAGAGAGCTTCATAAGCAAATCTCTTTTCATTTCACAACCATATCAACTCTTTAAAGAAATTCAATTAAGCCTAGGCAAAGAGCATTAGACTTTTAGCTCTCTCATACACACACATACATACACGCACACGCATACTTGCTCGCACACGCACACTCGCTCGCACACACACGCATCGCTGCCTTGCAATGAAATGGAAAAAACCCTTAAGCCAAATGAATTATGCATGTTAAGGCCATCACATTGAGCAGCGAGCAGCAACAGCGATAGCTGGCCGCTTAATAAACTGCAACTGGAGCCGCTGCTGCTTAAAATTCTAGTTGTGCTGCTCTCGACGCAGCAATAAATCTGAAATTGCACTCAATTGCTGCAGCGCATGCAACGCAGTTGCAGTTGCAGTCAGCTTCGCTGCCAACGTCGACGTCAGCGTCGTTGTTTAAAACGTGCGCGCAATTTTCGCAATTTTCTAATAGCCGCTAACGCATTGAGCCAGAGTCGGAAACAGTTGGGCGTGCAGCGCTGCTATATTGGGGCTTGGTTATTAAAAAAAGGAGAGAAAAACTGTAAAAGGAAAGGGAAAACAAGCCGAAAAACATTTCACGTTTGCCGAGCTGCATATGGGGAGGTTTTTGTTTTGCAACTTGGCCGGAAGTGCTTTCGACGCCATTTTGCGGTCAGCTTTTATGGCCAGTATGCAGTGCAATTGAGAGTGCAATGTCGGCTACAAACTATACGCCGGGCTCCTTGAATGCCCTTTATCAGCTACGTGCCCATTTAACCCATCACGCGCTCTAACATCCATCTCCAACCAAAACGAGAAAGAAATACAAAAAATGGCAAAATAACGCGCCTATGCTAGAAAATTGCCAATAAATTGTTGCTAAGCAGCGACTGCGACTGCGGCAGAGGCAGCAGCAGAGGCAGCGACTGCGGCAGCGCTCCTGGCCATGGGCTTAGGCAACAGCTTTGGCTGCGTCACGGCCTCGTCCTTGCCGTCTGCTTGCTGACGCAGCAGCCATTTGCCATTTGCATTTTCTCGCCATCCATCGACCCACATTCCGGGCCGGCCATTAAGTCCTGCTACAATTTACTTGTGATTGACATGTTTATAAGGGTCGCACAGCAGGACCTTTGCGGCGCTGGCCGTGTGTCCTTTTTCCGTTTCCCGTTCTTCTAAGGGGATTGCTGCTCGGTTGACGCTGTTGCCATAACAAGTGAAGCCTACAAACTGGTCTTCGATGCCAGCGCCATAAATCTTTGATATTTGCACTGTCCAGAGCATACTAAATATCCTTTTGCATTTGCAAGTGCTTTATAGAGACAGCGGCGGCAAGACTTCGAATTCCACGAATCCCATACGCAAACACAATTAAAAGTTCCCACGTTTGCGGCCGCATGAATAAAACAACAAGGGAGAAATGCCAGATGAGTGAAGTTCATACAGACGATTGCATACGCTAACCATCCAAGAGAGATGATAAATGGAAGATTGAGATTGGGAATTTTAGTATGATGGTATGGTGAATGTGAGGAAAAGGGGAAAGTATATATGTTTATTATATATACATAAGTAAGAAGTACAAAGAGATTAGCAGTAATAGTAGTAGTACAGAATAATAGTAGTAGAAGTAGTAGTAGGTAGTAGCAGAAGTAGTAGTAGGTAGTAGTAGAAGTAGTAGTAGGTAGTAGTAGAAGTAGTAGAAAAATTAATAGTAGTAGTATTAGTATTAGTAGTAGCAGAAGCAGTAGTAGTAGTAGAAGTTGTAGCAGTATTAATAGTAGTAGTATTAGTAGTAGTACTAGCAGAAGAAGTAGTAGTAGTAGAAGTGGTAGAAATAATAAAAGTAGCAGTATTAGTAGTAGTAGTAGTAGAAGTAGTAGTACGTAGTAGCAGAAGTAGTAGTAGGTAGTAGTAGAAGAAGTAGAAATATTAATAGTAGTAGTATTAGTACTAGTAGTAGCAGAAGTAGTAGTAGTAGTAGAAGTTGTAGAAATATTAAAAGTAGTAGTATTAGTATTAGTAGTAGCAGAAGTAGTAGTATTAATGGTAGTGGCAATAGTAGTAGTATTAATAGAAGTAGCGGAATTAGTAGTAACAAGTAAGAAAGCTCTAGTTGAGACTGCTCGACTACGAGATCCCCTGAACCCTACAAGCAACTGATATTTCAATAATAATT